CGGAGCTGGTGGTGCCCAAGCGGCTGTGGAGCAGCGCGGGCGAGCTCGCGATCCACCTGTCCGCCTTTGGCCAGGGCTTCGAGCTGCACCTGGCGCCCGACACCAGCTTCCTGGCGCCGGAGCTCAAGGTCGAGCGCCTGGGGGGCTCCGGCGGGGCGTCCCGGGCCGAGCGCCGGCTGCGCGGCTGCTTCTTCTCCGGCACGGTGAACCGGGAGCCCGAGTCGCTGGCGGCCGTCAGCCTGTGCCGCGGGCTGCGCGGCTCCTTCCTGGTGGCCAGCGAAGAGTTTACCGTCCAGCCCCAGGGCGGGGGCGACTCCCTGGAGCAGCCGCACCTCCTGCGGCGCTGGGGCCCCACAGCCGGCGAGGGACCCGGGACAGGAGACGATGCGCCAGAGGAGGGCGACGACGAGGAGGACAACGGAGAGGCAGGCGGCGCCCGCGAACTGCCCTCACCCTCGGGGCCCACGACCAGGACCAGGCGGTCCGTATCCGAGGCTCGCTTCGTGGAAACGCTGGTGGTGGCCGACGCGTCCATGGCTGCCCTCTACCGTGCCGACTTGCAGGTAGGAGCTCCAAGCCCTCCCGCTGCTCCCTGTCCTCCCTTCCCAGCCCTGGGAGACAGGGAAATCACACACACACACACACACACACACACACACACACACACAAGCACGCACACCTCCAAGCTGGGGGCTTTCTTCATGTTTGCCATCCTGGTTTCCTACACCCCCACTCCCGGTTGTTCCTCTCTTGGTTCCCATCCTGACTCTCCAGCAGTCCCCAGCCACCAAACTGGAAGTGGGATGAACACACCCTCTCCCAAGCACCTGCCTCTCCCAACAGGATAAAAAAGGCACATTTCGGGAGAGCACCCCACCCTACCCCCATTTCCTGCAGCCTCTGCTGTCAGAGATCTCAGAGGCTCCCAAGGAAACACAGCTGGGCTGGAAAGAGGTGGCTGTTTGGTTGCCTTCAGGTTCAGAACTGGGGTTGGCATAAGTAAAAGACATTGTCTGGGGAGAATTGAACCTGGAAAGGGGCTGCCCAACTTCTGTGCACCCAGCTGGTTCTGATCAAGTGGCGTAGACTACCTTGCCAGCTTGGCACTCAGCCCTGGCAGAACTTGGCAGTGCCAGCGTCCAGCACAAGGAGGGAGGGGAACAGAATTTCTGCCTGGGGGCTCAGCCCTGGCAACTGAAGTTTCAGTGAAAAGGAAGGGAGTAGAATGCGCTTGCAGTGAAGGTCTCTGGAGAAGCCTGAGCTGGGCTGGGTCCACCCAGCTGCCCTCAGGTGAGACTCCCAAGCAAGCTGGTACAGAAAACCCGGGTCAAGGGGGTAGATGTTGTAGCCAAGCCACGGCTAACCACACACAAAGAGGGTGCTGATTCAGCAAGAGGTGCCCTGCACCACCTTAAATCCCAGTATCCCCCTTCAAAGACCAGGTATCTGTCTTCCAGAAGAAGTAGAAGCTAAGGATGCAAGAGAGGACAATGTTTTCTCTTCTCCTGGGGGGCATAGAACCAAAGATATGCCAGTTAGAGAAGAACTGACCTGGCCAGAGCTCGCAGTTCCCTGCAAGGGATGCTGGCATCTCAGCAGCTCGGGTGACACTTTTGCAGTGCGGGCATCCCTGGCCAGCAACTGCATTCTGGACCCAGCCTGTGCCTGACTGTTGAAGGCACTAAATGCATGGGCATTACCTGTGCAGAACAATCTAGATGAGGAGGTGGCTAGCCGCCTGTCTCTCGCACACTCTTACCCCCACTGCCATCTCTGCTCTCACTGTGAAGTACAGAGGGAAAAATCTCTGGCCAGAAACTGACTGATAGGTCTGGCAGCGCTGCTGGCCAGAGGTCTGTGCGGCTGCTCTTCTGGCTACTGCAGGAGCCTGTTAAGCCCCAGGGACACTCCCTTGGATGCTTTTGTGGTACTACTTTCTCCCAGAGCACTGCATGTCATCAAGACCTCAGAGCTGTCTGCCTGGTGAGCTTTGGGCCAACACTGATTTATTGGGTCCTCTGTCCACCTTTGGATCAGGGAGAGACAATGCCCACTTCTGATTCTTTTCCCCAAGCAAGACGATGGCAGGGTGGGAGCAGAGAGGTGAGGGTTCCACTCATCTCACTGGGACCGCCATATCTGCTCCAGGAGGCTTTATCTGAAAGAAATTCAGGTACATTCATTGCAGACCCACAGCTAGATCTGTCCCACCAAACATATCCAGTTTGGAAGTTTGAGAACCAAAACATAGGAAAGCCCTCAGGGCAAAGCCACAGGCACAGAAGTCAGCTCTTCAGTCTCCTGAGCCAAAATCCACCCCGCACTGTCCTACTTACAGTTACACCCTCTCAGCTCGTCACCTAGACCCTGGCGAAGCTCAGTGCTTCCCTCGAGGAAACGCTGCTCCAGGGAGCTTCATCAGAAAGAAATTCAGATATTCGGCATCTGCAGGCATCGCCGCCCTCCAGAGTCAGCCGTGCTTCGATCGCAGGAGCCTCAGCTGGGTTCGACACCAGGTTTTGTTCACTTTGACTTGAAATCTAGGCTGGTACCCAGAGAAATCTAGGCTGCTGTGTCAGAGCCCTGTGGGCAGTACCATCCTCACAGGACCCCTAGCCACAGGACGTGATCCATGCCTGCCACAGCCTCTCTCCGTCCACATACTCAGCTTTCTGGACCATTGACAGCCACACATAAGGACTGCCCTATGCAGCCAGCCACCTGGGATCAGGAGAGGGCAGCAGAACACATGTGAGGCATCTGTGAAGGCTGCCCTCCTCCCCCCGGGAAGTCTACTTCTAGGCCTTATGCAAAAGGAAATCTTCACTCAGCTGGACCAGCTGCCCCCTCGCCCTTATTCTCGCTGTGTCCAGCCCACCCGCAGTCCTGAGCCTACCTTTACCCCATTGGAGTGGGGTAAAGCTGAGGAGCAGCTGTTCATGGCTGCCCATTGGCCTTTGACCAGCCATTGAGATTCTCAGCTTAATCGCTTGGGATTCTTAAAGCAGATTCATGGGTTCAGTAGAGAGAAGAGTAAAAAGTAAGCACTAGCACCCCTAAGCCTGGCCTTCTCCAACCCACTTCCCCCAGAGCCAGCTCTTCACACACTCCTCCAAGGAGTCTCAAGGAGACTTTGCCACACACCCTCAAGGTGCTTTGGGATATCTTAGAGCCATCAGGCCTGGAGGTGTAATGATGCTCAGAAGACCTCTGCCCCTCTAAGAAGTGACAAGACACCTGGACCGGATCATCTCGCTGGGACCACCGAACTTGACTCCCGCTGTCTACGCCATTGTAGCATGCTGCTTCTTTAGGAAGGCCTGTGACTCTTCACCTTCTGACACTTGTTGATGTTGTGGGATGGGTCCTGAAAACCAGCGGTCCAAGACGCCCAGCTGAAGGATGAGCCTTGCTCCTGAGAGGCTACCTTCACCATCAAAGTTACCAGCGAAAATTAGCTATGCTCCCAACTGATTTTAGCTCCCACTGCTAAGCGACAATGAAGTCTTCCAGAACACTGTACAATTGAGTTCACTTAATCCCTTGACAAAAGGAGGTCCCTGCTTCCCATCTTCTTATCTGGTTTTAGAATTAAGGAGGTTCCACTTTGGGAGAGTCCATGCCTCTGTCTGCATCTGGCTACTGCTGCTTGTCCCCTAAAGGAACTTGGAGCAGAACAGAGTGAGCAATGGGCTGCCTGATACCCCAGGCTCTGTCTGGGACATCTCAGTTCATGTCTCAGCAATAATCAGAGCTCTGGAATTTTCTGCTTAGCAGAAACAAGCTAGGCATGGTGCTTGTCTTTCCTAGGCAGCCCCAAGCACTCCAAGTAGACAGGCGTTAGGGGCTGATTTCAGATAAAAACTTTCACAGCCATTTCACCTGCCCCTCGCCCCTGTCCTCTGGAGCAAATGTCTCCCACAAGCCCTCATAGTCAAGGGATTAGATAGCCTCATCTGGCCGGCACAGGTGTAGTTCATGCCTGTGAGGGCATGACCCAAGGTACTGTTTCTGAATGTCAAGGGTATCCTGGTTTGCATGAGAACAGAAACACACAGGTCCTACCCACTCCATAGCTGCCCCAGTCTTTATGGGGAAAAGACGAGTATTATATGTGCATGAATTATGTTCTTCCCACTGCCATAAGAATGAATCTTTTCCATCTTTTGTGCCTGCCACAGTCAGAATGATGAGGGAGAGAATTTCCCAAAGGAAATATCTTAATAGCCAGAAGTGCAGTTACGTAGTCAGTGACAGAGGTAGCCTGGCTTCCTTACTCGCTTTGAATTTCTCTTGGCTCTATCAGCTTTCCCTGGAGCACTAGAAATAGGTGGCAGTGTATTTCTAGGATAGATACCCGTCTCTAGGTATCCTAGAGATAGAAACCAGGAGCATGAGCGGGAAGTAGGAGTAAACCAAGTGTCCTTGGGCGAGCTGTCTGTCTCTCTGTACCTTCTTGCTCACCACCAACGTGGAAGCAGTTGTCACTGAGTCTGACATTGCCTCGAGGAAGCCGCAAAGCATGGAAAGCACCAACCTGTGCTCAGCACACGGCAGTGGCTCAACTCATCACAGCCATTTCCAGCCTTGCTGGGAAGCCCTGACCGGAGCGGGCATGGTGGGATGGCCACGTGCCCTCGGAGTGCAAGCCACCATGTCTCCGCTTTGCTGGCCCTCAAGGCAGAGGCTTTGGTCTTCAGCTGAGCCCAGCTCCTGGCCTTACGGCTGAGACCCTGTAGTTCTACACAGGTGTGCTCTGGACTCGTCCTTTGCTGCTTGGAGAAAAGGCAAGATGAAGGATGTTTGTGCAGATCTCTCTTCCCTCGCCTTGCTCCTTTCCTCTTCCTCTGCACTGCCACTGTCTTTCCCAGCACTTCCTCAGGCCTTAGAGCAGTGCCAGGAAGGTAGAGCAATGGCACCAGGTGAGCTTTGCCACTCTTCTCATTGCCACTCTTCTCCCAGCCTCCCTGGGCAAGCCACAGAGGGAGCTGAGGGCCTGAGAGAGACAACCGGCTGAGCAAAGAACAGGGAGCAAAGCTCTGGCCAGGCAAAGGAGAAGAGCCACAGAAATGAGTTTGGCATTTCAGCCTCCCTTGCACCCACACCAGGCTTCACTTTGGCTTCCGCCAGGGCTCCGGGTAAGGGATCTCCTTGTTCATATCTCAGAGAGGGCTGTGCCCCAGCCAGCATCTGGGGCCTTTTCCCCTATTCCAGGGAAGCCAGCAGAGGACAAGATGCCTCCCAAATCACCTTCTTACCATAAATATAGTTAAGGGCATGAGATGCCCATTCATTCAAGGGCAGGAATTTGGGGTCATGCCCGGCCAGGCAGATCATGGGCTTTTCCCAACCTGATTTGGAGGCTGCTTCTCATGCAGGGGCCCAAGTGCATGGGGAACAGGCCCTCATTCACATTCTGGAGCACACAGCCTACACTTACGTGCTGAGCGGGGAGGTATAAATAGACACCAGGTGGCGGAGCAAGCCATCTGACCTTTTCTTGACCGGCTCTACTCCCCTTACAACTGTGAGCCAGGCTTGCCCTTTGGGCCCAGGGATGAGTGGAAAGTGAGACACAGATTGAGCTGACGTACCTGACCCAGGTGTAATGATCCTTCCCCCCGGAGAACTCTGGGACACACTGCAAAGCAGGCCTCTCACTGTTGTTTCTCAAGGAGTGGAGATGGTGGAAGGCAGCACTTCTCAGTGGGAGAAAAGGGCAGCAGGACCAGAGCTGAGGACTCCGAAAGAAATGTTGCACCACAAAACCCTCACAGCCCCTCAGAATGCAAGCTATCTTCTAGACCTGAAAGATCTTCAGATGCCCTCAAGCCTGACTCGTAGTGTTGAAGGAAGTGGCTCACCTGACAGCCACGCGCCATCTGGAAAAGGTGCTCACACAGCGCCTCTCACCTGCAGAGGAGGAGGCTCGCTGGATGCCTTAGCGCCAGGCGTCTTCTGTTACCTCAGCCCGACCTTCCCTGTTGGCGTCTGCTGGGGATGTGACTGTCGTACCATCGCTTGTGGAAGGAGCCCCAGTCTGACCTGGCCACATGAGCAACTGGGCCATTCTAAACCCCGAGTCTTCAGCTCCTCATGCAGAGCTAAACTATCCACCACTAAGTGGACAGCTTTAGAATGTCTGTGAACGACCTCATCTTTCCCAGTTTTCAGATTGGGAATTGGGACTCAACGGGAAGAAATCTTGTGAGGGAAGTTACAGGTTGCCTCAGAAGGACTGTCAGGAGATGGTCCGCGTCCACCAAGCCCTGTGCCTGCCTGCAGCAGCCAGAAGACTTTCTGTCTCCTGGCAGTAAAGAAGACCTGGCCAGGACTTAGCTCCGGCAAGCTACCATTCCTCAGCCCTCACCCCGGTTGCATAATGGTGAGACTGCGTCTTTTCCCTTAGGAATCCAACTCCAACAGCAAATGCCAAGTTTCAGCTCCGCTGATAAGATGTTTGTATCAGCCTAAACATAACTGGAGTGCTTGACATGCTAAGTAACCTCCGCTTAGCAACCTGCCAATCCCTGTTTGTAGGACTAACAAAATATTTGGCCTGTTGCCTTTGAGGTGAACAGACAGGTCCCATTCACAAAAAATGGGATTTGTCTGCAAAGCCCACACATGGCCTTTCCAGATGGAATGTCTTTCGCTAGCCTTCCCCCTCTTTTCCTCTCATCTACTCCCACCTTCCAGGCCACAGGAGAATAGAGAGGCTGATGGGAAGTGGTCATCCAAGGAGCAGAGAGCCAGAGCAAGTAGCAGCAACTGAGCTGGCCACACAGTGGGCTCCAGGCATGCCCACTGCTGTCCTGTTGTCCCTCCAGATGTAAAATAGTCCAGGAGGACCACTTCAAGAGGTCCCCAAGAAGGAAAGGGAGCCTACATCTGGCCTCCTCTCCACACCTTGGTATCTAGCAGCCTAGAGATAGGATGGAAGCCAGGCAATGACATAGGCTCCTTCCACCGGCCGGCGGTGGGGAGGCCTGCAAGCAGGTGGGGCTCCACACGCACATGGCTCTCATTAGGCCCTCTGCATTCTCTCAAGCCCCAAGCAGAAAAAAAACAAATCATTTCAGGCTGTCCAGGCAGAACCCAGCAAGCCAAGCCTTGGGAAACTTAATGAGAAAAGTGTGGATGTCGGAGACAGGCACACCTAGGCCGACATCCTGGTTGTGAGAGCAGCGTGACCTTCAACAAGTTGCCGAACTTGTGTAACCCTCCACTGCCCAGTTCTGGAAGTGGAAACCCAGTGCCTGCTTGGGGGCATCCTGGTGAGAACTCTGTGACTTGGTGGGTGTCGACCCTGAGTGGTGCTGGCAAAGATTAGCTCCCGCTGGGGGTGATTACTAGAGAAAAGTTCTCAGGGATAACAGTTTCCACCCTATAGAGAAGAAGTTTCCCTAAGAGCTATCAGGAAAATACCTAGCTGGGTTCTGAGAGCAAAACGCTACATTAATCCCTCTGGTCACTGTTTCTGTGCTGAAGCTAGGGGTAGATGGGGTGGCCCGCACAAAGGCAGCAGAATAAGCCAGAAGCCCAGAAGAATATTCCATGTATGGCTCCAGTACAGAAGCCAGCTGCCATCTACACTTCACGTGTGGCCAGGATGACCAGTTTTATTAACTTTTAATTAATGAGGATTTAGATAGCTACATGGGGCTGGTCCGGATGTTAATGTACAAGCCTTGGAGCTGGGCAGGCTGGGTCTGGGTTCAAATGCTGGCTGGACACCTGTTAGCTTCGTGATCCTGGATTCATAACTGAGTTTATTTCTTCTATGGAAAGTGAAGGAAAATAATGCTGAGGCCTCAAGCATTTTGTGAGTCCTCAGAGAGAGGCTATACCTCCAACGGCCAGCCCAGACCTGGGATGAGCAGGGTAAATGCCCTGCAGCGAGAGGCTATGGCAAGGAGCAGCCCGGGGCTCGGGATTGAACACCCCCACCCCTTCCCAACAGAACCACATCCTGACCTTGGTGTCCGTGGCAGCCCGCATCTACAAGCACCCCAGCATCCAGAATGCCATCAACCTTGTTGTGGTGAAAGTGCTTATAGTGGAAGATGAAACGTGGGGCCCAGAGGTGTCGGACAACGGTGGGCTCACACTGCGCAACTTCTGCAGCTGGCAGCGGTCCTTCAACAAGCCCAGCGACCGCCACCCAGAGCACTATGACACAGCCATCCTGCTCACAAGACAGGTGTGCGGGCTGGCTCAGGAAAACAGGGAGGAGGGGGACCAGAGACAGACTGAGGGGTTGAGGCACAGGCCACGCCAGACATGAGAACTGTCTCCGATGCTGGCCTTGGTGGATACCAGAAGGCTCCTGCTTAGAATGACGAGGAGGGGGTCATGAGGACAAGTGGGAGGTATTTGCGAGGGAAGGAGAAGAATCTTGTGAGGGCAGTTTTCCAAAAGTTTGTGACCAGCTGTCTGCTGAGGTCATAAAAGGAGGAAACAGACTCACACTCCCCAGGGAGAGATCTAGGGTTGGAAGTGGGACAAGGGCTCTGTCTAGGGTTTTTGCTAAACTTACAGACAGATAGCTGGGGATCCCTCAAGGTCTCTGGACAGCAAGAGGGCGGCCCGACTCCCTCGCATGTTTCAGAGGGGCGGCTTCCTGTAGAGAAGGGCATGGAAACAGGGTAGTGTGCACCAGCGCTGCCACCTTCTGTCCTTACCACAGTCCTGCGGGGGGTATGGCATTCTCCTGGTTTGGAAACTGAGGCAAAGAGAGGACACACACTGGCAACCCCCTTAGCATAGCACAAGCAGGCTTGCTAGATCACTCTCAGAATCCCTGTGCTATTCTGGCTCTCAACACAAGCCTTTGAAGTCCCAGCCAGCTCTCAGACACTGCCAGCTCAGAGCAAGGAACAGGCTCCCTCACATGAGCTGCCTGTGGGAGGACAGAAGGACATTTTTCTGTTCTCTGCCACTCAGAAGCCCCTCTTGACAGCTGTGTGTGTGTGTGCACATGTTCACACGCACATACACATGCATGCATGCATATTGTTTAACAACAGTAAATTTCCTAAGTTACTCTGTAAATGAGACAGAGGGGGATGATGATGACTATAACCAAGACAGTAAAGGGTGCATGACCACCAGCTGAGCTCCCAGACAGTGAGCCCTGCACTTGCTCCCCACTCTGTAAAAAAGCTCAGTAAATGCAAGCAACGCTCAGGCTACTGGGTGGGGCAATGCCCTGTGTCTCCTGGCTCGTGCCTCTAGTCTGGAAGGCTGCTGCCGCTCACACGCATGCACTGATGCGCTCTCTCTGCCACACAGGACTTCTGTGGGAACGATGGGCACTGCAACACTCTCGGTATGGCAGACATTGGCACGATCTGTGACCCCAGCATGAGCTGCTCCGTGATCAAAGACGAGGGCCTGCAGGCCGCCTACACCATGGCCCACGAGCTCGGTAAGACTGGCTGTGGCAAGGCCGGCTTTGTCGCACCAGAGGGAACTGACTCTACCAGGCCCAAAGCTGCTCAGACCCTGAGAAAGGGGCTGCTCCTCATTTTGGCCTGGTGATGACACAACAAATAGGTACAGAGCTTGGTATTTTTAGCTCCATTTAGCAGTGTCCTGGGCCACTGTCAGAGGTTGCCTGGGGTGCCCAGACATGAAACAGACGCTGAGGGAGGGCCGTAATACTGGACGCAAGCTGAGCACTGAGGCTTGAGGGCTGCCACATTAGATCCCGAGCAGTACAGATGAGTGTGAATTCAGAGAGGCAGAGGCAGGAAAGAAAGGGGTCCCGGTGCTCCTCAGTCATCTGAAAAAGCTTCCTGGAAGAAAAAAAAAAAAAAACAGGCTGAGGCTTACAACAGACATGTGTAGGGTCAGGAGCCGGGACGTGGTAGCACTACCGAGGTCACTGCCAGTGCAGGCACACAGGGAGAGGGCTGAGGCGCGGCAGAGGGTGGAGGAGTGAACCTGTCTCTTTCCCCCCACCGCCCAGGGCACGTGCTCGGCATGCCCCACGATGACTCCAAGCCCTGCGTGCGGCAGTTTGGGCCCATGGAAAGGCACCACATGATGGCACCCCTCTTTATCCACCCGAACAAGACGCTGCCCTGGTCCCCCTGCAGTGCTGTGTATCTCACCGAGCTCCTGGACGACGGCCATGGTAGGGCCTGCTTGGCTTCCTCTCCAGCCCCCAATCAGCAGCCCCGGGCTGAGTCGAGGACTCCCTGCAGCTCTGCTTCCTCCCAAGGCTCCCAGGGCAGGAAGAGGCTTCAGCAGTGCGCCTCCGGAGAGGCATCCTAAGCACCTTCCTCGGGTGTTATCCTTGCCCAGCTCCCAGAGCAGGAGCTCCGGGCTAATTTAGATTTCATCATCAAAGCAGGTGCTGGTAGTCTGAGAAGACTGTCCGGACGAAGTGAGTTTGCGCAGAGCTTAAAGGAATGGAAGCATGTTTGTTGGAAAGAGGACAAAAGAGTTTTCTAGGCTGGGTTCATTGGCCTTACGATAGCTCAGAAATGGCAAAGCAAACAACAGCAGGAGCAGCAGCAAAGAAGCAGTAGTCAGTTGAGAGAGAGCAAGCACCGAGGACCTGGGGTGCCTGTTAGGGTAGTGGCTGTTGGCTCAAGCAGCAAAGCAATGCAGTCTAGGTTCTTCTCATTGGAGGGGGCAGGGAACCGGTACTGCAAAACAGCAGGTTACTCAAGGCTGGTGCTGCTGTGTGCTTCTTGGGGTTTCTCTGCCAACCACGGTTGCTCAGAGCACACTTACATCTCCCATTATAGTACGACTTGGTGAGCATACAGTCAGCTGACACTCACCAGGCACATGCTGCCGAGCGAATGCACCTTGAGATGTTCTGGATAGCAAAAGAAAGTCAGTCCCCAAAGGCTTTGCTGTTGTTTGTCCAAATGAGATGGGCTCTGAGTAGATGATCGAGTGTTGGCATGTCCAGACTGAGTCAAGGTAGCCATGCTGCCTAGACCTTAACTCACCTCTTCTGAGATTCGGGCCAAATGTAAGGGGCATCGAGAGCAGAGAGGGGCGGCCCAATCTTGTTCTAGCTCTTCGGTTTCCTCTACTCACAGGGGACTGTCTCCTGGATGCCCCCACCTCAGCCCTGCCCTTCCCCACGGACCTCCCGGGCCGCAGGGCCCTCTATGACCTCGACCAACAGTGCAGGCAGATCTTTGGACCGGGTTATCGCCACTGTCCCAACACCTCAGAACAGGACACCTGCGCCCAGCTCTGGTGCCAAATGGATGGTGATGAGGGTGTCTGCCACACAAGGAACGGCAGCCTGCACTGGGCTGATGGCACTCCCTGTGGACCTGGGCTCTTGTGCTTGGATGGCAGCTGTCTGCAGGAAGAGGAAGTGGAGAGGTCCAAGGTGAGGAGCGGTGCAGAGAAGGAGCAGGGAGGGTGGTGAGGGCTGTTTTCTACCGGGGAAATGCACCTGAGAGTCAGAAACTAAGAGATACATCTTTGAACAAACCAAAGCATATCTACCCACATAAACTAGGCGAGACTGTACGCATAGCCAGGAGTCGCAACAGTCCTCCCTGGTTCTGCATTGGCGCTGACCAGAGGCCTCGTGCAGGTTGGTCGGATGTGGGGCAGCCAGAAGGCAGACGCTCTCTACATGGGAGGCTATGAATTCTGCTTACGAATAGAACGGTGTGGGGCAGGAACGTTTCTCCGGGAGCTGATGGTAAAGCATTCAGAGCCTCCCCACATTTGAGCTGAATTCCTAGTAAGGGGCGAAGGGAATGAGAGCACCGTAGGAATCCCACACTCCAAGAGAAGGAGAGGAGGAGCAATCGGGGCTGGCAGAGAAAACTCTCACCAGGCAGAGAAAACTCGGCCCTGTACAGAGGACATTTGTAGGGAAAACCGAGGCAACGCCAGAGAAGATTTTTAAGGGACATGCTCCTTTGCCCTGCTCCTAATGCATCCAAACTGCGAGGCTGATCGCGTTTTTCCTCCTTCGAGTCAGGGAGCCGTCACCACGAAACAGTATCTGCCCGCTTCACAGCCTGGTCCCCTGCCCAGCACTGAGCAGCGGGTTGGCCCAGGCACCCTCCAAGGGGCTCGTGTGTGCTGCTGAGCTCCCGGAGCAGCCCTGGGCTGGCAGAGCCACACACTCATCCTAAGCCTAGGACAGGCTCACGGGTGAGCACCGGCCTGGCCTGGGCTCCAGTGCCTTCTCGTCCCTGTTCCCGAGGGGAGGGGGAAGGGTCTATCCACGCACTCCAGTAAGAACCAAGCCAGATGCAGGCAGAGACTGACATGAACTGCTCATGGAATTATGCTTATCATCTATTTTTAGGGAGAAAAAGCAGAGCTTAAATATATATATATATATATATATATATATATATATATATATATATAGAGAGAGAGAGAGAGAGAGAGAGAGAGAGAGAGAGAAAATCGCTTCTTTGTAAATCAAAAGAATACATTTTTATAATCATATATTCAGAATTCAGAATAAAAATATGGATAGTGATTTTCTTAAGAATTGTTTTTATTTTATAGTCTATTTTTCATTTTTTATATAAGCATTACTTTCATAATTTTAAAAACTAATTGATTAATAATTATAGCCCATATTAGTAATACAGAATAATGATATTCATTACATGCATATCATATACCTTTTTCATTTTCAATCCTTTAAATCATCCCTCCCCAGTTTTTATTTCAAACCCTCTTTAGACCCACCATGAGCAACGCTTTATTCTCACAAGCTAGTTAGAAACGTGGAAATGATCCTGCTTATTTCCCAGGCATTATCCTAGCACTGGAACCAGTAACTAACAGACCACTGGCAACATCGCTCAGTAAGTGTGCCTTTAGAGGAGGATCTCTAACCTCAGCCCTGGTGACATTTGAGGCTAGATGAGGCTTTCTATGGGGCCATGCCCTGCTGAATATTTGTAGCATTCTTGGTCTCTCCCCACACCCTCCCCTACTGGAGCCACCTCGGCATCTGCAGATGCTGCCCTTTGGGACACAATGCATCCCAGTGGCAAGCCATAACATGCAAGCCAGCCTTATTCCCGTGAAAGACTCTCGTTGCTGCTGACCACCCAAGAGCAAAGCACTGCATTAGACGCCAGCAGAGAGGGAACCCACGCAGTCTTTGTTCAAAAAGCTGCAGGCCATGTACACACTGAACATGGTTGCAGCAGTTCACAGCTCAGCAAACCACCAGACAAGAGAACCCAGAGGGGAAAGTCAGGCTGCACACGCCACTCAGGCCCCTTCTCTTGTGCTCCTGACTCCATGGTGCTGTGTTGCAGGCAGTGGTGGACGGAGGCTGGACGCAGTGGGGACCCTGGGGAGAATGCTCCCGGACCTGCGGAGGAGGAATACAGTTTTCATACCGTGAATGCAAAGATCCTCAGCCTCAGAATGGGGGAAAGTACTGCCTGGGTCAGAGAGCCAAGTACCAGTCATGCAACACGGAGGAGTGCCCACCTGATGGTAACCGATTCGTAAGGCCACACCTGCCACAGCAGCTGCTGGTTTTGTTGCAGTAAATCCCCAGAAAAGGAAGGAGAAGGGTGGGTCTCCCAGTATGCAGAGCTGAGTTTGTGATCCAGATGGTGATGGGCTTTGCAAGGTACCGAGCTTTGGTGAACTCACAGGGACCCACCACAGTTGCACTGCTTTGGGAGAGGCTGGGGAGGTCAGGAGAGACACTGCCCTGGTCTTCCAAGACATGAGTGTAGAGTGTGTCAAACCTATGGGGGGCCTTTGCAGAGGGGCTGGTGTCTAGCATCATAGTCTGAACCCTTGTCTGTGCAGCATGGGACTGTTTTCCAAAACAAGTGGCAGAGCCAAACCTCCAAGGTCTCTCCAGCCAGTGCTCAGCCCAGATAGGAGGAAAGGGCTTCTGAATCTGATTCCTGTGCACATTCCTTCTGGGAAACGTTGCCCATCTTCCCTTGGGGCCATTGCAACTGCCTTGCAGAGCTTTCCCAGGAAGCAACGCTACCTCAGCCTTCCCCTGGCATAGTCCTATCCCTTCGCATGTGCTGGAAAGCACACGTACTAACTTAGAGGCAGTAAAGGGCAGCAGCAAACTTTTAAAGGGGATCATTATAACTTTTTCCCCACTGTCCCATCCAGCTCCCATTTGAGCAGCTCCGGGAAGAACTGGCAGGCATGAAAAGCTGAGCAAAGCTTTAGGAGAGAGTCATGCAAGTGCCAAGACACCCTGGCACTGGCTTGATGTCTAATGGGGGAATCTGTAGGCTCTGCAGTTTTGCAAGACAAAAAGGGGTAGCAATGGCATGAGGCTCTAGGAACTCTGGAATTAGGAGGGTCTGCCTGGCATGCAGTCCACCATGCTTGAGGGAAAGGAAGGAGTTGGTTACAAGATACAAGGTAGGCGTGGGTGATAGGCAACATCAGCCATTTCAATCAGGAACTTCTAGCATGCCTTGAGGGTCTAGAATTGTAGTCAGTATCTCACTGCTAGATTGGACTCGGAGTGGTCTGCCTCTTTACAACCTCCCACGGCTGGGATTGCTGTTGCACATCACCACGCCCAGCAGGCCTAGGGGTCGAAGCTCCAGCCCTCTTCCTGCTTGCAGGCATTTTAATCCACTGAGCTATTTGGCCAGCCCTACAAATGATATTTTTACGGTACCCGGGATTGAACTCAGGACCCTGTGCTTGCCAGGCAAGCGCTTTTTCTACTGAGCTATCTCCTCAGCCTACAAATGATATTTTTAAAGGAACAAAGCACAGTCTTTGTCCCCACAGAGCTTGCATTCTGATTCAAGACCCAAGCCCCTTCACAAAGCAACAGACTAGAGGTCCTGAGTTCAAGTCCCCAGTACCAAATAAATAAATAAAACACAGCAAAAGAGGTTTGATCTTTGAGGCACAGAGGCTAGCTTTGTGAAGGGCTCAGAGCAAGGCGAAACTTGGGCAAAGCAGAAGCTCCACGAAGTCTGGGCCAGGGAAGGGAAGGAGGATGGAATGGTGATCATAAGAAACACAACCTTTTGCTGAGGTGGAACCAAGGAGAATGTACCAGTGCGCCAGGGCCAGGCTGCAAAGGGCCTCAAAGGCTGAAACAGTGTCGGGAGAGTCTCTGTGGTAGCTGTGCCATCAGGTCACCAGCAAGCTGCTCCAAGCGCAGCCTTCCCACCCCACCCCCCAGCCACACTGACTCAGAGTCTCAGCAGTGGAGCACTGTATCCGTAGCTGAAGTCTCTCCAGGCCACCCACACACACACAGCGGGGTTGGGAGACAATGACCAGAAGAATAAGTCAAAGTCTACAACTGTGCGAAGAAATACCCCATTTCCAACCATGTGGCCTAGAAGCAGGGTACAGCAGGAGGGGAGAGGAGGAGACATGCGCAGAAGGCTGTGCAGTGTCCCATGGGAAGCCAAAAGGCCCGGCCTTGGGACAGCAAGAGAGGCCGCAGGCACTTAAGTCACAGATTGTCTTGGGTGTAGTGGAGGACTTCACGATACACTGGAAATGGTGAACAGAGGCTCAAATATTCAGGAGCCGCCAGGATGCTAGCCTTAGACTGGACTATGGTAGTGTCACCAAATGAAACCAGTTAGCAGGAGGACCAGATGGTACTTGGCATTGCTGAGTTAGAGATAATGGGTGTATATGCCAGGACAGCTGAAAATGCAGCAAGTGGGTGATGGGGCAAGAGCAGAGCTAGAAAGCACAGGCTGAGAAGTTGTTAGCCACATGTCCTTTGTCACCAAGAAAGTCAAGATGGACAAAGACCAACAGAGTCATGAAGACATGGTTCCGAGCATTATGCTGTGCCTGCCAGGCTGACAGAATGGCTCCTGTTCCCGCCCATGTGTATTTCTTCATCTGTGCAGTAGGGTGAAGGACTTTCCCAAATAGAAAGGGGGGTTATGCCAGAAAGCCCCACACGGGGCCTTCCTTGCCCCTCTGAGTAAATGTCACACTTGCACGCAGGACAGGGTGTGTCCGGGAACACACTGGGTCCAGATGGCATCGGGCCTGGGTCCTTAGACTGAGTTCAAAGCCCAGCGGAAAAAGGGCCCTGTATGTGAGCACTTCTCCTCCTGGGACCTCCTAGCTTCAGTGAGAGTGTTACCTCCACGCTGTTTCTTACTCTTTCTAGGAAAAAGCTTCAGGGAGCAGCAGTGTGAGAAATACAACGCCCACAATTACACTGGCCTAGATGGCAACTTACTGCAGTGGGTCCCCAAGTACTCAGGAGTGTCCCCCCGGGACCGCTGCAAGTTGTTCTGCCGAGCCCGGGGAAGGAGGGAGTTCAAAGTGTTTGAAGCCAAGGTGAGAACCCTTCTGGGACTCAGGTCGGCGATGAGGAGCAAGGCGGGCTGCTGCCGCCCTGCCTGCAGCTGCTTCTATGCTCCACACGCTTTCTTACCTCTCCTGTCCCAGGTGATTGACGGCACCCTGTGTGGGCCTGAGACTCTGGCCATCTGCGTCCGGGGCCAGTGTGTCAAGGCTGGCTGTGACCACGTGGTGGACTCGCCAAAGAAGCTGGACAGATGTGGGGTGTGCGGGGGCACAGGCAACTCGTGCAGGAAGATCTCTGATTTCTTCGTGCCCAGCAGGTGAGGATACCCAGTCCTGAGCCCCTCTGCACAAAAGCATAGTGAGCTTGGACTCCGATGGGCCCAAGTGTGACCTGCTGGACAAGTTACTTCAATATGCTGCGCTTCTGTTTCTCTACAGAATGTCCAGAGTCTTCTCTATCCCAGTCACTGCAAAGGTTTCAAGAGGTGGGATGTGTGCAGCACTCAGCTCAGGGTCTGGCCGGGGGAAGGACAGCAGCCAGGGCAGCCGTTGTTTTATTAGAGAGCAGGCCACATGCGAGAGGATGTGTCAGCTCCGGGTCAGTGGGCAGGAGAGCTGCACCGAGCAGCGGAGCCTTTGCCAGCAAACTGCTCCTCCGGGCCTGTTAGGGAAAGGATGGCTCACCCCAGGCCCGAGGCCCTGGTCTGGCTGCAGATGGCTGTTGGGAGAAGGGGCACAAGGGTGTAGCCTTGGTAGCTCGGGCACTGAGACCGCTGCTCTCATATCCTACTGCTTGCACTCACGTAGCAGGGCTTGCTTTCACTTCTATGGTCTCATTTGATTTCTAGACTAAGTGTGGGAGGGGCTGGGGAAACAGCTCAGCAGTCTAAGAACCTGCCTGACAAGCGCAAGGCCCCGGGTTCCATTCCTGCTCCCACATGCCGTGCCAGTCCCGGAACCCTGAGCACGCTGTGTGCCCCCCACCCCCACCCCCACCCCAGACTGCGTGGGATGCTGCACGCCTATAATCCCAGCACTGGAGAGGCAGAGAGAGGAGGATCACTATGAGTCTGAACTGTACAGCAAGACCCTGTACCGAACAAATAATTTTTAAAAAAATAAAATAAGTATAGGAGGTGGACAAGGCCAATACTATTATGCCCCATGTTACAAAGGAAAAAGCTAAGGTACAAAACGATTGTGGCTCTTAGAAGAGTATACCAACAGTTTACTGACAGAAAGAGAACCTGGCTTTCTTAAGTCCTGGATGATTGCTTCCTGCTTTGTCTTATTCCTACCGTCGCACGAACACTCTGCAAGGTTAGGTCTTGTCTAAAAGCCACACTCCGCCAGTCCACACTCCGCCAGTCCACACTCCGCCAGTCCACACTCCGCCAGTCCACACTCCGCCAGTCCACACACTCCGCCAGTCCACACTCCGCCAGTCCAC